GCCAGTCACAGGGCGTACATTATATCCTTTGACAGCAATGTAATTATCATGTAAATTTGGTTGGTGAATGTTATCACCAACGATTTATGTTTTGGTTATACATTCAGGCACAGTCCTGTGATTCAGGTCGTAGTAAATCGTAAAACGCTTGGGCTTACTTGTGCTGGTAATGTTAGAATACGTCTAGCGCCGTTGTGTTTGTGTAGAGAGGACGTAAATTCGGTTAGTTGTGTACCGCTGGTGATTCCACTAGTTACGGTCTGTTTTCTCGCTATCCGCGTATTTTCACAAGCACAAATGCCTCTCAATAGACTCTATATAGTGAGTTCTAACAGCATTACGAAGGCTGAATCGAGTTACTAAATGTGGACGTTCAACAAAAACAAATTAAAATATATGTTGCCCGTAACTCGAAGTTCTGTTAACTGTTAATTAAACTTATAAAACATTTTTCTAACGTCTTTGGTTGAACACCAAGTTATATTTTGGGCGTGGTTTTGCAAAAGTGAACGTGGTTTCGAGAATATGGACGTGTTCATTTTTGTAACTCGATGTTTTTGTAACTCGAATTCGTAACTGGGTGTCCGTAACTCGTACAATTTTTGACTCGTAGCCCTTGCTCTTGGTAGCACAGTACGTCACACTAGAAACACGAGTTTAGGCAAGTTACTAAACTTATTCTAATAAAAACAGCCATTATGTATTTTCTTACAATTCATTCCTGGTTTTATCATAAATTTCCCAGCAATATTCAACAAATATTCTACGGATGTCCTCTCAATAGTGGTATTTAGCCAGTCATCCAGCAACCTAATTTAAGACATTTATTACATTATTTTAAAACGCGGTGGTCGTCGCGCAGCGCATGTTCGAATTTCATGTAAGCAAACAATGTATTTTACACGCGTTGTATACGTCGCTATGAGTCCCATATCGAACAGGACGCGGCAATAATTAACGTTCTTCTTGTTTATTTGTTCTTCGTAATCTTCTGCTGTGTAATCATTCCCTGTATCCAAAGTATCACTTCTGTCATTGCTGTGTTAAATTTAGCGCCCTCAACAACGACGCTGGACTTATACTTTCTACCTCTAACCATCAGAGTACGGTTTACAAGTTTGGATAACAGGCTCGATCAAGCAATGATTCCAACAATGTCGATGGAAATATTGATTTGTGTCTGCGATTCACGAAATTTTCAAAAATGGCAAAAATAACGATGTACTCTATTTCTACTGAACAAAGACGGCCAATTATGCGATACAGTGACGTATTTTGAGAAATTTGTTCTAATATTTTCCAAAATTGCTATTTTAGAACAATTCCATAGAGCACAATGTTTTCGAAAATTTTAAAAACCCATTAAGTAATTCAAGAAAACAAAAAGTACCCCATCATTAACAATATATTATTTTTTCGGCCTATGTCACCAGCCTACAATTTGAGATATGGCATAATATCTCTGCCATGGAAACCTATAGTAAAAACACTATAACACTGCCAAAATGGTCACTATCCACTAAAATACAACCATCATTTTCTCGAACATTAAGCTGGTGACCCACTACTTTTTTAAGCCAATATTTTATAATGCCTGGAAGTACAATATTATAAAATGGATAAATTCTGAGTATTAGAATTCATGAGTAGGCTTCTACCTTAATGGCAGTGAACGAACTTAAAGGTCTAGTCTAAACAAAAATTTAAAAATAGTACACAAATTATTATAAGTTTTGTATTTTCTCAAATATTTATAGCGAGGAGAACGAACCCCCGAGCAGTATTCTGGTCTACTTATCACCAAGGCAACATACAGCGAGACTATAACGCTTTTTCTCTTTGAGATTTAGCATGTTTACATGTTTCTTCAATATGTCTTGTAAAATATAGGTCTGAACCAAAAGAGATATTTCTATGAAATAACAGATTTCTTGTTATTAAATGATATCACCATGGCATTTACTAATATTCAGTTTGGGCTTTCACAAATTACACCAACTAACTACCTTCATTAAATCTCTGCTTCAACGAACATAATCGTCCGAACCGTTTCTTTCCCGGAATAATTTTGACCATAGACTCTCTAAAAGTGGGTCTATGTTTTGACTCATTATAATATATACTGTGATTCATATTGCTTGCAGGGAAATCATAAAGCTATTCATTATTTGGAAAAGTGCGGTATTATTTACCAGTCAATTAAAGTCATGGTTTTCCACTGACAATGATAGGAATTTCAGACACTTATCGAGAGTGGGCATTTGTTGCTGAGTAGTTGGGTAAACCAGGCTAGTTGGTAATTGGGAAGGTAGGAAGTCTCAATCTTGTGTCTTGGCACATTGCTGTCAATGAATACACAACTTCCGTAATCCTTGGCTTAGAAAATGGCAACAAAAATCCTGTCAGCACGTTTCGCATTTTGTTTGCTAGTCACTGACATGACTGATTTTAAACACAAACTCGATCAAATATGTTAGTTGTTTGAGACAAAACATCATCATTGGGAAATGCACCCAGGTCATTGGGTTTCAGTTCAGATTTTACCTTGTGGTTATGTGATGGCGCACTCATGGGCCACACGTGACTGTGAGTTAGCCAATTGCCGTTAGGCAATCAATTGCCCCGAGTCGAAGCAATACAGAGACCCCCCTATATTGATAATTCAGGGGTAATCGATGAGTATAAAAGCGCTCGCAGCTCAGTCGTCTTTCGGCTTCGAAGAAGCCCGTGGTTCAGAAATAGTGGAGTGTGTGAAATTTGGGGCTAAAATCGCGCTTTAAACAATTGGTTATATAGCGCTACAATGGCTCAAAATTCAGTGGTAAGGGTATACTTTATTTTTAACACTTAAAATAGCTATATTTACGAATATTTGGAGGAAATTCTTTCTCTGAAACATGGCTAGTCATGATGTCATTTGAAAACTCAAAGGCAACATATGGAACTGGTACTTGCCAGTGACAATATTTACCACAGCACTGGTTTAACTGGCAAACCTCGCATCGCATGCGACATTATAGCAGGAGTTTATGCCACTACATGTGCCAGCCAGTCATTTCGGTTTGAAAATCTGTGTACGGTGTGTAACATGTGTTTATAGGAATGATAGAAACATTAATGTCCTTTGTTTGCCAATGGCTCAGGCAACCACTTTTCGAACCTAGACTACAACGTTTTGCTTGGTTTACTTTTTTTAAATACGGCATTTATACACTCTCTTTGCAGTCGAAATTGTATCAAAGTGTCATTGACGACGTTATTAATAATGTACGAGAGTCTTTTCTCGACGAAGGCGTGGACGACCAAGTTCTTCAGGAACTCAAACACGTAAGAAACCATTTTCCGTATGTACATGTATGTAAAGGAGCCGAACAAGTCGAGAATGCAGTGTAGACATTCGCTCGATTTCTTTCCCTGTAAATGTGCGCTTGAATATTCAACTTACACGTGAAACTAGGCCTGCATGGTGTGATTGACCGTAGTTGGTAAACAGCCGATAAAACAAGGAGAGAGGGTTACACCGCGGACAAACTGTTCCCGTGAAAAGCACTGCGATTCATTCTCGCTACTGCGGCCATTGCCTTGTAATGGGTCGCGCTTGCTGTGGCAGACATGTATTTTATAAGGACGGTAATTTGCATAAGTATAATAAAGCTGTCATTCATGTCGTAGTCCCGCCCTTGCCCTTGTTTGACCTTCAGTGAGGTTGATTGCTAATGGTAAATGCAGGTTGGGACATGGCTAGTTCATCAACAAAAGTGCATTTGTGTAGAAAAACTGTTTCCAGCGCCCTGTGATTCAGAAAATGTGGGCATCACAGGTCATATTCTACATACTAAAGTAATTACATATTTCGCAGTGTGATCATCTCTAGCAGAAATGTTGAGTTTTTAAACCGTAAGCCATGTCTGAAGTTATGCTTACAAATAGCTTGTACATTGTTCCAAGTGAAGATTTTAAAATTATTTTCTTATTTGTATGAAATGTATTTCAAATGAAATTGTTTGCTGAATGAAATTTCATTCTTAGATTACTGATAATTTGTAGTCATGATATTCTTTCAGTTATAAGTTTACTTGTAAAAAATGTCTATGCTGAAAAGAGAAGAAATATAAATAGTTAGGCATAAAAATAATTTGAGAAGACATTTGAGCTGCTGATTATGTGAACCAGATGAGAACATTTTTTCATGAAAAAAAATTGCATAGATGTATTGCTATACTGTTTGGGAACTCGTATGCAATTCGTGTTATATTCTATAAGGGACCATGAAATTAATACTGTTATTCTGAAAGTGATCTTGGGATTTATATAGAACATGTACTACTAAATGTTATTATACAAGTATTGATACATACCCCAGCATTTATTCAATTCATATCTTCATGGATATTCACCAGTGATAAACACATAACAATCAAGTCTAGTTTTCATTTTGCAATATAAATACATTTCAAACTTCTGAAGTATTTTTCATCAATGTACATGTACATTTAATTCTCGTTCTATAACGAATACAACTAAAAGGAGATTACTGCGGTGTCACTTTTTCATGGTCATATTATTTTTATGATATTACAATGCAAATATTGACAACATTATTTTTGGAAATGTAGTTTTTGAAAACATCATTCCTCTGCACACTCAAATAATTGCCTGTGCATGGTGGTTGCTTTTATTTTTTCATTATTTCTGTTAAGAAACTGCTCATGTTGATCATATATTGTGTAGTCCAGTGCTGGCTGATGATAAATATTTGTTTTTCTGTTGCTGGTCATTATGGAGTATTGCCAGTAGTAAAAGTACCAGGACATAACTACATACCATACTAATCCCCAGTAACACAGATGAGGTAGCTCACATGTTAGCTATCAAATGCCTTTACATATATGGTAAATTGAAATTTTATAAATTCAGTGAGTCTCTTTTTAAGGCTATATATTGTTCTATAGACAGGCCGAATTTCTATCAATTCAATTATGGTTGTAGACGTGGCTGAATATCAATATATTGTTTGAATAGTCTTTTCCATTTTAAAATTACAACTGTGGGCTAGCCCTGTTGGCTAATATTTCTAAATCACGTTGCTGATGGTGCTCTGTGGACAGTTAGTTTCACCTGATATGTTGTCTGTTCAAAGATATGAAAGCTTTGCAAAGATATCACAGGACATCTATAAACATATTTCATAACTAATTGTATTTGTACACAATTCATAAAACAGAGTGGGATTTGAAAGCAAAAGAAGATAAGTCATGTGCTAAATTATACCCACATCATGCATGGCACTACCATTCTGCATTCCTCGTTGTGTGGATGTCATATTGTGTAGTATTGTATCTGAAGCAGAAAGCTAAAATAACATGCAAGTTTCACTGTAATACATGTATCACACTATTCAGAATGTTTTATTTTATCTGGTAGCAAATCATATCTACCACTTATTCTGTTGCATGTATTTCAAATACAATATACAGAAAGTGTTTGAAAATACTATAGATTCATCCATCCATACTAAACAAGTGTTTATTGTAAAATATATTGAATACACTATCTATAAATTTACTGAACACACATTGAGGACTTGTAACTGGAACTGGCATCATTGGAGTGGGGATGATTTGGAGATCATTTGTTGAATACCTCTATGGATATGAAAGTAAAAAAAAAACTGTGTCAGCAGGCACTGTGTTAAACATGTTTCTGAAAATTATATTAGAACTATTAAAAAACCTTATTTTCTTATTTTTTTTTTTTGATATTAGATTTGGGAAAGCAAATTGGCGCAATCCAAAGCCTTAGATCAACAAAATGACACTGTGTTAGTCCAATATGCAGCTCGTTCAGGTAGGTGTATTTAATGATAAATATATGAATGTGAATAAAGTAACCAGTCTTTAATGTCAGGGTGGTGGGTGGGGTGCATACACGCTGCATTCTAGTCTGTGCATCTTTCTGCATAAAAATAAATCTTATTATATTGGACCATTTATATAATTCGGAGAAACTTGAACAGATTTTTTATAAGATTCTCATGTCTTAGCCTAGGTAGCTGTTTTTTATGCACTATTGAGAACTGCATCTTTCCGAATAGTGACCTTTGTCATAATGTAGATTAAATATAAATAGGTATTCTTACTTTGTATGAAACATAGAATGTACTTAACTATGATTACACTATACTTACTATGTATTTGGTCTTCTCTCTATATGTACTGCAACCAGCAGCCGAGCCTACTATGGTAAGTTGTCCTAACTATTGACACTTATAAAGTAATACTGTTAACAAATGCAATAATTTGGTGTATAAAGCCATAATGTGTACATTTGTAGATATACTGTATGAATGTCAAGAGACTCATCTATAAATCCAATCTGAGTTTTAGAGTAGGCGACAAGATTCAGATTTAGTAGCCAAAGCGTAACATTTTTGTATGAGTTAATCTACACCTGCATTTACCAAGTACAGAACTGTGGTACAATTTGTTGTTCATGTGTTTTTTCAGAGTGCATCAGCACAAGCAGCCACTCTGGCTTTACCAGAGGGAATACTCGCATATCAGCCTCAGCAACTAACGTCCAGCGTTGCCTTACCTACAGCAACAGGTAAGTATTGACATTGAATATTTCTCTATACCCTACTAGACTGTCTGTTAGCTTATATTGTATTGTCCAGTATTTGTATATTACAAGCTTCATATACAATGAAATAAATAATCTGGACATCTGTCACTAATTAGTATGCATGGTTTGTCAATATGCCGCCTATCAAAAATGTGATGCTATTATAAATGGAAAGGAACAATTTTAAACCTCATTACTGATTTTATTGCATTTTCTCCCACTTTTTTACTCCTGTGTGCGAAGCACGCAATGGGAGTCTTTGCAGTTATCTTGTCTGTCTGTATGTATGTGTGTGTGTGTGTATGTGTGTGTTTTTGTCCGTTCCATGGATATCTCAAGAACCGTATGTTGGTTTTTAATGAAACTTGGTGTGTAGATGACTAGGCTAATGTGCAGATTTGATTAGGTTTTGGTTGTAATTCATGCATATTAATTACCTGATTTGCATAATTAATCAATTTTCAGCTTTTGATATTTTTTTTTTTTTATGATTTATTTCACCAATAATAATAACAATTCTAGTAATCTTATAATAATAATAATAATAATAATAATAATTTCTTGGTGTGGACCACAGAGGTAGTTCATCCGAACTAATCTAGTCTGTGGCCCAATCCTAACCAATATACATTTCTATGCAGGCTATATATACATATATATATATATATATATATATATACACATATATAAATATATATATATATATATACATATACACAC